CCTGCCCTGTTTGGCCTCCTGTCCTGACTTCCTTCAGTGATGAACTATAATGTAGAAGTATAAGCCAAATCAACCCTTTCCTCCATAAGTTGCCTTTTGGTAATGGTGTTTTATCACAGCAATAGAAACCATAAGGGATAAGAGAGAAAGAGGGAAAGAGAAAACTAGAACCAGCTACAGGTGCAGGTTTTGGAACGAGTTCTTAGCTAAGGATATATTACCAACAGAGGAAGGCAGAGTGGAGAGGGCCAAGGCTCTCAGAGAGTGGAGAAGTCGGGGGTGACACAGTTTGAGAAGGGGAGGAAGTCGGATTAAGATGACCTACTTAGGAGGAATAGGACTTTCTCCTGGCGAAGACACTGTGGGGCGGTGGTCACCCACTGAGAAATAGGGGACTGAAGGGAAGAGAGCACCACTCAGCCCAGCAGAGAGCAGACAGATGAGGTGCCCTTAGGAAGGCAGGCGCCAGATGGCAAGGGCGAGGAGGAGAGAATGGCTTGCTGGAAATGGAGGTGGGCACAGGAGAGCCGGCTTCCTGCTGATAATCCTCAGTGTGCCACCCCTTATACCGTGTTCAACTTTTACATCCAGATCAAGCTGGTGTCACATGTGTGTCTGGGCCAGGACCCTTTCATGGACACCTTCTTTTCAGGGAGGGGGAGTTCCAGCAAAAATGTTAGTGGCAAGGCCAGCCTTCTCCTGCAGTGACTGAGGGGAAGTCCATGCTGTCCCCAGCTCTCCAAAGCTGTGGCAAGCTAAGGAGGTTTGCATATTAGCCTCAACTTAATCTAAAAAGAGGCCCCCATTTCCCTGGACTATTTGTGTATAGGAAAGCCAGCCATGAGCTGAATACTGAGAGAGAATTGTAAAACAAAAGTCCCCGCCAAAGAAAATCAACCTAAAGGGACCCGCTTACTTATGTCTGGTTAGGAAGTACTGTGTTGTTTTCAGTTGCTTTGGCATGTGCTGCATTTAACGTCCCACAGCACCATCTGGTGGATGATCTGAGCCACTGACCTTTGGACTGTTTCATTTTCAAGATCTAATTCTAGACAAATGTTGGCCTTTATGAAGAATGAGCAGACTGCTAGCAGAGAGTGGTGGTGCATACCTTTAATATCAGCACTCAGGAGGCAGAGGCAGGTGGATTTCTGTGGTTGGAGGCCAGCCACTTCTACGTAGTGAGTTCCAGGACATCCAGGGATACACAGTGAGATCCTGGAGGTGATATGTCACTGGGGTGGGTGGGTGGGGGGGTGAGCTTTAAGGTTTCAGAAGCTCACATCATTCCCAGTTATCTCTCTTTGCTTCATGCTGCTTGAGGACCAAGATGCAATCTCTGCGCTGACTGTGTCATTGCCATGCCTGCCTCCCTGCTGCCACACTCCTAGCCATGATGGTCACAGACTCATCCTCTGAGAAACTTAAAGAAACAAAACTCCTTTGTTGTTGTTTTCATTAGTTTGTTTGTTTTTTTTTCCAGACAGGGTTTCTCTGTATAGCAGCAGCCCTGACTGATGTGGAACTCACTCTGTAGATCAGGCTGGCCTAGAACTCACAAAGATCTGCCTGCCTCTGCCTCCTGAGTGCTGCAGTCAAAGGCATGAGCCACCACTGCCCAGCTCCTATGACTCTTCCTAGCTCTTACTGATATGCACAGGCAGGATTGTGGGCTTGGCAAAGAAACCAGGTCTGCACTAGTTCCAGATGTGGACAGCAAAGTTCAGACTGCCATGGCTATTTTGACGTAACTAAGAGTCACTTTCAGCCTGGGGACATGGAACTGTTTATGTATTTGTCTTTCTTCTCTTGCTTGGCAGCTGCAGAGAGGGTAGTTCCTGACCAAGTATTCTGGCTTGGCATTTTTGTATGTGATTCACACTCTACTCCTACACTCTACAGGGTAATCAAAGCAAGGCAGAAAATTATTTTGGAGACAGACAAAATCAACATCTCTAGGCATTCAAGTCAGAGATGCTGGGAAAAAAAACCCAAAACATCTTAGAGTGTGCCAGAGAGTGGTAATTGGGCTTAATTCTTCCTCTGTTCTTAGCTTGCTTTCCTGTTCCTCAGAGGGCTTAAGTTGCTATGAAAAAGAAAAGCCAGACTTTCTCTAAAGTAAACAGATTGCCCGCCTTATTGTCTGTGAAAGTGAGGACCTTGCTATGGAGTAGTGTTATAGTTACCTTTCTATTGCTGTGGCAAAACACCACAACCAAGGCATCTTGTAAAAGAAGGAGTTCATTAGGGATTTATAGTTTAAGAGTGTGTGACCATGACCATCATGGTGGGGATCATGGTATCAAGCAGGCAGGCATGGTGCTAGAGCAGTAGCTGAGAGCTTACATCTGATCCACAAGTATGTAAACAGATGTTTCTCTGTTAAATAACCACTCAGAGACTTAATTTTAGTTACAAAGTATTTGGCTTATGGCTCAGGCTTATTACTAACTAGCTTTCACATTTAAATTAACTTGTTTTTACTAATCTATGCATTGCCATGACCATGGCAATACTGGTTCTGGTTTTCTGGCATCTTGTTTCTTGGGAAGCTGGCTCACACCTCTCCTGACACCTCCCTTCTTCACCAAGTCCTCAGTTTGATTGTTCCATATAACCTTATCCTAACTTGCCTTAGGCCAAACAGCTTTTATTATTAATCAATGGGAGCAATACATATTCACAGCCTACAGGAGGATTATTCCCACAGCACACAAACACAAGGCAGAGAGCATGCTGGAGTGGCATGGGCTTTTGAAACTACCCCCACCAGGGACACACCTTCCCTAACAAGACCACACCTCCTAATCCTTCCCAAAGAGTTCCACCAGCTTGGGACCAATTATTAAAATACTCAAACGTGTGAGGGCGTTCTCATTCAAGCCACCACAAGTAGCTTGGTCATGACTACACAGGTTATGGCATGATTGGAATCAGAACTCAACTCTGAATCTTTTTCACAGAGCACTTCTAGAATCCTTTTACCTCTCTCAACAGAAGTCAGTGCTGCCTGTTTACTTACTTGTGCTCAAATATTCTGCCTCTCCCTGAGCTTTGCCTCTTGACATCTTCTCAACCAGAATGAAAGATAGTTACAGTTGTTGGTTCTACTTTGGTGTCATTCTCATTTTGATTTCATTTTTAATTGAGCCATGCATGTATGAGATTAGAAATGAACAAACCTCCCAAGGCTCTGCTTCAGGTTTAAACTCATGAAAGCAGGCCTTCCTCCTTCTTCAGACGTCCTGTTGATGAATGTGTTTCGGTGATAAAGTCACAATAAAGAATGCCCAAATGGTGTCCGCAGTGCATTTCTTCCTTTTCCGGGTCTGAGAAAATAACTCACTTAAAACAGCAACTACATTCTCACATGTATTAAACTACTATCAAACTTTCCCTCATGCCTCAATTCTTTAAAGTGTGATGGGAGATACTGTTCTGTGTATATGTTTCTCTTATTGGTTGATGAAAAAAAAAAAAAACACTGATTGGCCAGTAGCCAGGCAAGAAGTGTAGGTGGGACTACCAGATGAGGAGAAGGCTGGGGAGAGGACACAGAGGGAGGCTGCAAGGACAGATGCCATGTAGAGGCAGGAGTAACATGCTGAGGCATTACCTGGGAAGCCAAGAGCAGGTGGAAATATTAGGATGAATAGAAATGGGTTAATAAGAGAGAGCTAACGAGTAGGAAGCATAAGCCACTGGCCAAACATTTTATAAATTAATATAAGTTTTTGTGTGTTTATTTGGGGCTAATCAGCTGTGGGACCAGGCGGAAAGAAACTCCAGCTACAAAAGTATCCAAATATTTTGCCTTTTAATCTTTTATTTCTCACAGGGTTTACTACTCCTATCTATTTTTAACTTTTTTGTTATTATTACTCCTGTCTATAAATAAGCCTAAGTATTCTTCCTAAGTCATCCTTGGGAAAGTTCAGTCAATTAACTCTCCATATTGCAAAGCTCCAAGCATGGCACCACATTCTAACCGAGTCAAGGATGATGGTACAGCTGGGTATGGTTGATGCAATTTAAGCGTCTTGGTATGGAGGCAAGGAAGATGAGGAGCTCAAGGTTAGCCTCAGAGAGGTGGTTAGTTGCAGAGAGGTGGTAGGAGACAGCTGCATATAGTAGCAATCTATTTGTTAATGGTGACATGCTGTTAATTGCCCCTACCTTGTTTAACCTGTGAAAACTGCCTTAGTGGCTGCTTCTTTGAGACTACATCTATTAAACCTGTCAGTATCTGGTAATGACACCTCCTCCCAATCTGGAATTTAGTCTTTTTATAAAGTTCTTCAGTGGGATTTCATCAAGGCTTCCCATCTGCATCACTTGTTTATGGCAGCAATGACAAGGCACAGTTGAGTGGAGGAAGGTGTCTCCTCAACTGTATCCTTGCCAGCTGCTCATTTCGGGGTGGCTTTGGAAATTGCCTTTTGCTCCTGACTTCTGTAATGTACCATGCAACACAAGGTCTCAAACCTGGTTTCCTGTGTGAGTGCTTTCCGTGTGACTGCTGCACTTCTGATCTCCTGCATTGAATTTAAGAGCTAGCAGGAAGCTGATAGTAACGTCATTTAGTCAAGATGGCTTTCCAGACTCAGTGGATAAGGATGCCTGCTATCAAGCCTCAGTTCTATCCAAGGACTCACATGGTAGAGGGAGTGAACTGACCTCACAAGTTTTCCTCTGAGCCACACACACACACACACACACACGCACACACAAAATAAATGTTGTAAAAATATTTAAGATGAGCTTATTAAAGTGTGAGCCCTAAATATTTACCTTAAAAGCAAAATTTCTAAGTTTAGATATGTAGATTTTGAGTATTTTTCTCATTGATTTGTATGGAATATGAGATTTGATTATTATGCTATTTAGAAATTAAGTGAGTAACCTTTTTAAAAAAAAATGTAACTACAATTTCCTTGTTCAGGGGCCTGTTTTGACTTTGTATAACATCCTCATGGTATTTTTTGTGTGTCTTCTCACAGCGTGCCACATACTAGAATGTCACAGTGGAATGGCCCAAGATGTTATAAGCACCATAGGGCAGGCCTTTGAACTCCGGTTCAAACAGTTCTTGAAAAATCCTTCCTTGAACACTTGGGAAAGGTCAGTTAAGAGTTCTATAATTATTCAACATTCTGAATATTTGAAACATTACTATGATGGTGGGGCATACGGCACACACCTTTAACCTCAGCACTTGGAAGGCAAAGGCAGGCTGATCTCTGGAGTCCAAGGCCAGCCTGGTCTACCCAGGAAGTTCTAGGCCAGTCAAGGATACACAGTGAGGCCCTGTCTAAAAAGAAAGCACCAAAAAACTTAGTATGGTTTTTTGAAGTTCACGAATGAGATGAATATTTTTCTTACAAGTAACAGTTTCAGTGCAAAAATAAGAGCTATTTACTCTTCCTCCATTCATGTTTATCCAGACAGTCTTCTGACACTACAATGGGAAGGAATCAACCCCATTTCTTCAGTGTTACACAAAACTGTGGACTGCACAGAGTTCTAAAATAACAAATGTTAACAAGTTCCTCAGATTTTCTTTATCCAGGATCTCATGCATATTAGTAAAAACCAAACCCAAACCCAAGAATAAAATAGTAAGAAAGATCTCCTCGGGAATCTGTTAGCTGCTGGTAGGCATTATAACTGGCTGTAGTCTGTGGGGTGGAGCAGATGTGACCCAAAAAGCTGGCCTGATCCTTTCAGGCCACCACCTGCCACTAAGTTCATGCTCGAGAAATGAAACCCTTGGGTATTTTTAAATGTACCCTTCCCCAAATTGTCATCCTGTGTATCAAAAAGCACTGGGTTCAGAGATGCCTCTTTATGAGGCAGGTAGTCCAGGGCAGAGAGAAGGTTTACAGGGAGCCCTGGTGCTTTTACCGGGATCCTACACCATCATGTGGGTTGGTAGGCTAGGACCCTCTAAAAAGACTTGATTTGGCTTGGGAAGATGGCTCAGTGGGTAAATGTGTTCAGCACTCAGGCCTGATGACCTGGGTTCTGATCCCAGGAACCCAAGTAAAACCATGACCCTGGGGGACATGCATCTGCCATCCTTGACCACCTATGGTGATATGGGAGGGTGAAGTCTACAGGGAAGCAGCAGATAAGCCACTCCCACAAAACAAGGATGAAGGCAAGAACTGACTTCCCCAAGTTGTGCTTTGGCCTCTGCCTGTGTGCCAGGGACACACACACACACACACACACACACACACACACACATGCCAGCACTCAATCACATCGCCCTTCACATGCATGCAAACTCATAAAGAGACTTGATTTGACTTATTCTTTTAATAAGAAACTTGTTAATTCCAATTTGGAAGAAAAGCCTATTTGTTTCTTTTTTATCCCGTTTCAAATTTTAAAATAATCACATGTTTAAGGAATTCTCCCCCTCACCACATGTGACTCTAATAGTTTTTTTTATGAATACCATACTTGTCTAGATTTGTGCAGACAAGATAGCTGGCCACAGCTCTTTATCCTTTTTCATTTTAGTTAAGTACACTGGGCTAGGCCCTCTACCCAAAGAACAATATCTCAATTTTCTTTGGCCAAAACATTTACAAAGTGAAGCAACTTAAGTGAGCCAGAGATTCTTAAGAAGACTTTACATTTTTATGATGCTGTGTTGAAACAGCCTTCCACCCAGAAGAGCCATCGCTTGCCATCAATATTATTACTAATGGAGAAAAATGCAAACACCTCATCCTTGACACTCTTTGCTGGCTTCCTCCATTTGGATTATCTACAGACTTCTCAACAGTTCAGCATGGCAGTCCAGATGTTTGATGTTGCTTAATCACAGCAATAATCTTAAAACACAATGCACAGTTTTCCAGGATGATTTGCTTGGCTCTGATCTTTCTCTGTCCCATATAGCCTTTGAATTCCCACCCAGTCTCTTTGGGCTTCTTTTTTTCCCCTTGCAGTGAGGAGGTACACGTGGATGGCACATCTGAAGACAGAGATCATGACTATTACAACGCAATGCCAGGGAAGCAGCCACCTGCAGGCGGCATTTCAGATGTGCGGGTCAAGGTTCAAGCTACAGACCAAATGGCTTACTGCCCTATCCAGTGCGAGAAGTTGTGCTATTTAGTAAGTACTGTTTTCTTGTACCAGAGATGTGATTCTGCTCTTACCACTACAGCCCTCGATTTGAGGATTTTCTAAATGTGATGAGTTTATCAAAAGTACCATCTTCCTCAAAAGCAGGGCAAATCACAATCTATGCTGGATTATTTTCATTCCCAACACCCTATCCACTGCTTCCGCAGACAACCTCATGTCTACCTTTACTGGAAAAACCCAATGCATCACTCTCGTCTTTATCCACATCCCCCAGTCTTCCCCGGCTCTTGCTTCTCTTCCTGAGTCACTGAATGTGACCCTGCCCTGTGCTGACCCACCCCTCTTACCAGCTAGATGTCCTTGTTCCGTCCGTCTCTGTCTCAAACTCACCCTGTTGGTTCTCTCCCTTCTTCCTGTGGATACGCTTTGGCCACTGCAACCCAACTATCACTGGCCCTCCTCTTTTCACTCCCACTTCTAGGGACCACAGTCTCCATCCGTGTTCTCACATGAACACCGTGACTTTGAGATCGGAACTCTGCTTTGACAACCTGATATAAGTGACTTTTACAATGGCCACTAGTTACTTACTTGCTTAATGGACTTCTCCCTTTAGTAGCCCTGCATCTTTAGGGCTGGCACCTATTGGATGCTGTTTCTTGAGTCCTCTTCTGTTGGCTTCCTCAACATTATTTTCATCTTGGTACTCCCTTATTGAACCTTTTACTGTTTTTGCTCCTAGATCCCCCTCTCTCCATCTGACATTTTTTTTAATTATAGTTGAAAGAATCCTTACAGTGGACCCTCACATGCGTAACATTTGACTCATTGCATTTGTTCTACCATATGTGTTGCCGTTTATCACCATGATCCACCTTGGAATTTGGTTTTGCACATTTGTTGTGTGAAGATATGTACATATGTGTGTAATCATATGTGTGTGAGCACACATGGAGGCCAGAGGTTGATCTCTATCACTCTTCACCATATTTACCGAGGCAGGGTCTTTTGCTGAACTCAGGACTTGCCTGTTCAGCTAGTCAAGCACCCAGCTTGCTGGACAGATTCTCTCTCCCTGCTTCTTGTATGTTGGGATTGCTGGGAGCTGTCTGGTATTTACATGGGTGCTCCAGACCTGAGCCACAGTCTTTAGGCTTCTCTGGGAAGCTTTCTATCCACTGAGCCCATTCCTTATGCTTTCACAGGTAAGTTGAGTCTTTTTCTATTATAGTTCCTTCCATTTCCTCCTTGAAAACCCAGCCCTACCTTGCCACCCTGTGAGTATTTCCATGGCTCCTCCTGGGCTTAGATCTTGCCTCTAGCCCGAGTACACATCTGCCCTCTATCTTTTCTACCTTCAGCCTGTACCTGCTTCTTCAGCTCTAATACCAAACTATGTAGCCCTGGTTTGAAGTCATCAAAATCCACCTGCCTCTGCTTCATGAGTACAACAGGTGTTAAAGGCACACTACCATGCCATATTCAATTCCCCTAGTCTTGCTTATTCATGCTACTGTCCCTCTTTCTCTTATCAATATACTTTTCCCTTTCTTACATTTTGGAGCACATATCTATTACGAGTAGGTTTTTCCCGCCAGTCTGGACCCACAGTGGCACCAGCTCCAAATAACACATAGAGACTCTGTATTTGATATAATTCTGTTGGCCAGGTACTAGTTTCTTATTGGCCAGCTCTGTCTTAATTATTAACCCATTTCTATTAATCTAAGTATTTCCACGTGGTCTCATCTTACTGGGGAGTGGGGGTGGCGTCTGCTCTCCCCAATCTCTCCATGTTGACCCCTCCTTACTACTTCCTCGAATCCTCCTTGAATCCTAGTCCTGCCTATCTTGCTTTCCTATTGGCCAACAGTGCTTTATTCATTAACCAGTATGAGAAACATTTACAGAATGACATCTCCCATCACATATCAATTTGTGTCCAACATCCAGGCTTCTCCTAGGTGAATATCCTTTTTACTCATTCAGACTTTACTGAACTTTATCAAGTTCTGGTCCTACTTGCTTAAATGATTCTGAAAGCCACATGCCTGTCACTGATTTTATGCCCTCAGATCATCTTACATGTTATTGTTAGATAAGTCTATTAAGTTTACTCATTTATTTTAATTGTTAAAAATGTGCGGTGCGCTCTCTCTCTCTCTCTCTCTCTCTCTCTCTCTCTCTCTCTCTCTCTGTGTGTGTGTGTGTGTGTGTGTGTGTGGTGTACATATTCATGTACAAGGGCATGTGCATGTTGCCAAAGGACAGTCGGAGGGCGAGTCCTTGCTTCTACTCTGCTTGAGACAGGAGGTCTTTTGTTTTGCTTTATATCATAGGCTAGATGTTGTGGGAGATTCTGAACATTCATCTATCTCTGCCTCCCATTTCTCCTACACATTGTCTGAGGTTACAGAGTTCTACTCCATAGGGCTTTGCATGGACTCTGGGGATCCAAACTCCAGCATTTACACGTATGCAGCAAGTGCTGTACACATTGAGTTGTCACCTCCCCAGCCTCAGATAAATCTTCTAAAGCATGCATGCTGTACTTAACCCAAGGCGTCAGCACATCTTCATTCCATTGCTGAAGAGCAGACATGTCAAGATGAGGGTGGCTGAAGTCCTCTAATTGGCTGAGGTTTTCAAGAGTGACCAGTGAGTCTAGCAGGGTTCTAGTTTGTCATCTTAAAATCAGGTAGAGACTGGGATAGTTCAGTTTGTAAAGTGCTTCCTGTGCAAGCATGAGGACACAAGCTTAATCCCCCGAAATCCTATTTAAAAAAGTCAGGTGAGATGGCATGTGCTTGTAGTCCCAGTACTGTAGAAGGGGCAGTCACAGCTAACTGGGACTCTTCAGCAAGCCAGCAAGCCTGGCCTATTCAGTGAGCCCCTGGTTCCAGTGAGAGATCATGCCTCAAAAAGGCAGGTGGACAGCTCCCAAAGAATGACTCCCAACACTGACTTCTGCCTTCCATACTTAAATGAACACACACTCACAAACACACCCACAAACATACATACACATTAAATTAAGGATCACTTTCTAGCTGAGACTTTGAGTGCTGGAATGTGACTTCTCAAGACACAGGATGTGGACAGTCCTTTTGATGTCACCCACCATCAGATTCACTTTTGCAACCAACTCCAAAAGGAAGACCATCAAGTAGCATTTTCTCCTCACATTCTCCACTCCCAGCTTGTCAGACCTCTCCTGTGCCACAAAGTCACGTTGCCTGCCATACTTTCTTGAAAGCTATCTTTTTCTTTGTGAATATTATGAATATGTACTCTTGATAAACTCCTACAATCTGTTGTTTATGCAGCCCGGGAAATCTAAGTGCAGCGGTGTGTATGAGAACTGTATGGAACAGAGCGGGTCAATCGGTAGGTACAATGCCTTTCCAGATGCCACTTCAACTCCTTTTAAGCCGTGTGAATGTGTGGCCCCTGCTCTTAAATGACAGACATCAAACTATACACACAGTCTTTGGGCTGCATGTTTCCCAGAGAAGCCAGAATGTCATCGTGTGTCATTCAAGAGCTTCACACTTCTCCCTTGCTTTCATGTGAGTCCCTAGAAATAAGTTTATAAAAGCAGTTGTACTGCCAATTAGTAACGTCTTTCTGATTGTCAGAACTATTTATTTATTTAAGAAGGTAAGCCTTGTAGGGTGAGGTGGGGAAGGAATTGGATGACCACTTTTAAAGACTCAGCAGACCATTTGTCACCTATTGTATCTATTTTTGCCCATGTAGCCTACTGCCTTTATTTTTATATAATTGAGGACACATGAAGGTGTTTTGTTTGTAGTATATCTCTGTTTATCACCATTCTACAAGCTGTACCAAAAGATTTGTCAGCCAGCTTTCTAAAAACATAGTTCCTTTTGATAGAAATTAAAATTCCATAGTGGTTCTTCTTGCCTTAAATCCCAGAATTCCAGAGGTAGAGGCAGGCAGAGTTCTGTGAGTTCAGGGCCAGCCTGGTATACACAGCAGTTTTAAGCCAGGGTTATATAGTGAGACTGTGTCTCATTTTTTTCCCCTATGGAATTGTTTACAGTCCATTAAAATCCCAAGTTAATCACTTCTCAGCCTTTTGGCTGAGACCAAATGTACAATCTATACTTCTTAGTTATATGGCTAAAAGGTGAAACCTAACACTAAGTGCAGGCGCCTCTGAAACCATGCTCTCTTGGAACTGTAACTTCTTCTCCCCCTCCTGGGAACTGCCAGCTGCATTTAACAATGGGGTGGACCTTGTTCTCTCTACAGCACCCTCAGCACGCTCTCCCACGCTGAAGTTGACTTGTTCTGTGTCTCCTGTAGTCTACATTTACTCAACAAGCCTATCAGCGATATTTATTAAGGTTCCTCATGGCATTTAGTTGTAAAAGTAGATGTACAAATACATTTTAGATAATTTTGAACACGAGAAGAGTTAGCATTTGGGGATGAGAGCCCAACCTTATTAGGTCATTATTGTTTCTAAGCGCATACTGCTGCTTAGAAAGAGCTTGTCCTATGAGTAGAAGCATTGTCTCTAGGCCTTGACTGCTTTGCAGTGATCTTTTAGTCACTTTATTTGTGAAAGTAAGTTTAAAATAGATACCCCAACTCCCTTTGATCAAACAAGCAGTCATATGTCACAGAAGGCACAAATACAATGCCCTGGTGGCCCCTCCCTCTGTAGAGCCAGGATCCTCCCTTGGAGTTTCCGACATACAAGCATGACACTTGTGAGTTGACAAGAACAGCTGACAAACAGAAACATATGGAATGAGGAGCAGCATTAAGCATGTCATCGTCCTGCTGGACCCCTCTCTTCACCATCACATGAAATCTGGTGCGCCCCTGTCCTGGTTGAACCACACCAAAGGGTGTCATGCCGAAAGCAATAGAAGAAGGAATGCTGTCTTACACCAAGGCAGTCAAGGGCCACAGCTTCAGGTCCAGCAGAACGTCACTGCTTCGGGTACAACCTCATGGCGATCCTGGAGCACGTACAGCTGAAACTTATAAATGTGCCTGGATGATGTGGAGTCCTTCATGCCACAGATCATGAAAGATTGTGCTAATACCCATGCATCCAGTAACAGTGATGTGCCAGGCCAGACACACGAAGAATTGCAGCTGTGAGCAAGGCACGTTGCCCTTGCTTTCACGGAACATGCAGCCTAGATGCAGTACAGACCTTAACCAGTAACAGACATGACAGAATCAATTACTCCCATGGAATGGCCTTCACAGCTTAAGTCCAAACTTCCAGGGAAGCAGAGAATCATCTAGTCTAGAGAGGTTTGAGCTTTCTGAGGTTTAAGTGGCAATCGTGGTGCAGAAGGCCAGTGTGACCCTGCCAGGGCTGTCCTAGGGAAGCCAGGTAGATAGAAAAGCCCGGCAGAGTATGGGAAGAAACTAGATGGCTTTTAAACTCTCTGGGAAATGTGATTGGGTTTTCAGTCTTAAAAGAGCATTTGGCCATGGTGTGTAGACTGGGCTGACGTGGGACTAGTGTGAGGGTAGATGCCATTCTACCAAATACAGCTAAACGGCAGCAGCCAGTGCAAGGCTGAGCTTGGCAAGAAAAACCTTTGGGAGGAGAAAAAAAAAAAAAAAAAAAAAAAGACTAGGCTCACAACCAAAAATATAAGAACTGTATTCATTCATTGACTTACTTTTAAGTTAATTTAGTGCAAAGGAAGTAAGACTTTGTATTAAGCAACAATTCCTTAGGAGGGGGTTAGTGATAGATGTTCTGTTCAGTAAGATATGTTTTCCTTCTTCCTGGACTAGCACCCTGAGCTAGTGCTGTGTGCGAGGCAGGTCCTTGCATTCATGGGCCATTTCTTTCAGGTCTTCTTGCTTTTCCAGTGTTTGTTTTTGTCAGTGGCACAACTGACAGGAGGAATAGGGCAGAGAGGAGGGAGGGAGGCCAGAGGGAGGGTGAGTTTTCCTCAACGACCTAACTGTCAGAGTTAAGTCCTTGTTTGGGGTGGGCATGTGAGACACACAGCTGCCTGTTGCTCTTCAATTCAGACATGGTTTAATAGCAAAATTTTAATGCACTGTCCACTGCTAACCACTGCAGGGATTCCCCACGAGAGAGGGATGCACACTGATGCCGCATCGATGAAGCACTCCTGCCGAGTGGATCTCTTTGATGACCCCTGCTATGTCAATACACAGGCTCTTCAGGGTACCCATGGCTGTGCTGGACAGCAAAGCCCAAACCAGCCACAAGGGAGCACATGGCAACTTAGAAGTAAGTGCCTTTCCCATTGCCTCTATTACTAGCATCCTGGTGTTGTGGCAATCACCATACACTTGGTGTCTGGGAACAACAGCCCCCAGTTCTTCTGGTTATGAAGGTCACATGTCTAAATTAAGCTGTTGGCAGCACTGACTCCTCTTGGTGCCCTGAACAATCTGCCTAATGCCCCTGTCCTTATGCCTGCGGCTAACTGGTAAATGCCAGCAATGATCGGCTTACAGGCACTCCGATCTCTATATATGGCCTCACACCCTCTGCTTCCTGTGGCTCTCTTCTCTTTGCCCAACAGGCCAAGTCACTGCATTTTGGGTGCGATGAGGTGGTTGTGCTAAATTAGACAGGTGATTAAGACTTGAACTTACCGTTTGAGGAACCAATAGGCATAGGCACGGTCTCTCATTTAAAAAATTATTTCCCTGGCTTCATCTATGGGAAATTAAAGGATTTCTTTAAAAGGTTTAAAAATTATGTATTTATTTTTGTATGTTCACACACATGCACAAAAAATGCAAAGGCATTCAGAACAATCTTCAGGAGTGGGTTCTGTCTTTACCTTGCACTTGAGTGTGAGGCTTGTAGGCCAGTTCCTTCCCCTGCAAATTCTTGACCTCGGTCCTTTTCTGTAGTTAATGACAAATCAGATCTCTGTGGACATGTTATAGATTTTAAGGATTTAGCCCATGGCTTTTAAATAATTCAACACTGAATTTACTTCCATTTCTTTTGAGTTTCTAATGTGTGTTTTTGATCAAGGAAGGGCTCTCAAAACCAGCTGGTAATCCTGTATTTTTTTCTTTGCAAGAGAAACAATGGCCACTATTTCTGTCCTGTTAGTGGCGGTGCTAACTTTAACCACCTCAAACCCCTTGGTGTGGCATCTGTACAGCACAAACAGGAGACACTGTGTTCTCCAGTCATACACTTCAATTGTGGGCCAGATACAATGAGACCAGCAATTGTCTTCCTGCCAATGTATTTGGGGTGGTGAATGCTTAAGAATGAACAGAGATAAATAGAAGCTAAATAAGCCTAAAGCCTAAAATCTTTTGAAAAAGAAACAACAGCATTTCCCACAAAATACTGGGTTCAGCGATCAGTGTGATATCAGACTTGGCTTGCTCCAAAGCTGGGGAAGCAGTCCCTGAAGAGGACCTGTCACCCCCCCCCCCCCAGGAAGCTTCCTCAGAGCTGCCAAAAGCAGCAGCATTTCAGCTAGGGTGGCTGTGAGCTGGCACATTTCAAAGATTTTGTTGGGCCTGGCCATCAACAGAGCCTTAGATGAAGTGGCCCCCACTGACAGTGCCAGGTGTTCTATCCTTTGCAGAGAAGATGGCTCTTCTCACAAAGTGTAGCCAGGCTTGTCCTCTGGAAGCGGATACTAAGTTGGAGGCTGGCATTTCATGTCTATACACACCATGATGCCAAGGAAGAGAATGGGACTGGGTAGAGGGGAAGGCACAACAGCACAGGCCTGTGAGAGCTTTGGCCAACTCCACAGAGAGCCTGTGTGTTCTGCCGGCACTGTCCTACACAGGGCCCAAGTGAGCTGGCCTGTCCAGCCCCAAGAATCGTCTGGATGTGGGCCATCTGAGGCAGGGCAGGACCTTGGCTGCCCGGAAGGACTGGCCATCTGGGAGCTGACTGCTGGGCCAAGGTAGAAGAACCAGAGGCAGCTGGGTTTTCCTGGAAGGAAGTGAACCTCTGTTGATCACAGAGGGAATGTTGGGAGGTGGTGACTGGATATTCATTAATGCTGCAGTAAATTCATGCAGTTGTCCTGTGTGAGATGTCCTATGTGGATAAAGGCAATATTTGTTACAGAGATGCTTTTAGAGGTAACTGAGTACACTTAGCCTTTTGTTCTAGGCATAGGAATAATAGAAGTGGCCAAGTTAATCCACAGCAAAACCAATCCCTGCTAATAGTTGCAAACAAGGCTGCCTTGTTCTGACCTCAGTGAGCTTATCTTTTTTAAAGTCTTTTTTAAGTCAATTTTTTTTATTCTAATCCTAGTTCCCCTTCCCTCCTCTCCTCCCACTCCCTTCACTTCTACTCTACTCCACATCCCATCGGCTCCTCAGAGAGCGTAAGGCCTCCCCCAAGAAGTCTATTAAATCTGTCCCATCATCTCCTTGAGGAAGGACCAAGGCACCTCTCTACCCACACATCCCTGTGTCTAGGTTGAGCAAGGTATCTTTCCATATAGAATGGGCTCCACTAAGTCAGTTTGTGCATTAGTGTTAGGTCTTGAACCCACTGCCAGTGACCTCATATATTGTCCCAGTCACACCACTGTCACCTATATTAAGGGAGTCTAGTTGGGTCTTATGCAGGTTCCCCATTTGTCAGACCTGAGTCAGTGATCTCTTACTAGCTCGAGTCAGCTGATTCTGTGGCTTTCCCCATCATGGTCTTGACTCCTTTGTTCATATTATTGCTCCTCCCTCACTTCCAATCATGCTCCCGGACCTTGGCCCAATGGTTAGTTGTGGATTTCTGCATCTACTTCCATCTGTTTCTGGAAGAGGCTTGATGCTTCTGTGGAATTGTAGATTGTAGGTAGGTTGGTTATCTTTTGCTTTATGTCTGGTATCCACTTATGAGTGAGTACATATTGTATTTGTATTTCTGGGTCTGGGTTACCTCACTCAGGATGTTTTTTCTAGTTCTGTCCATTTGCCTGCAAGTTTTAGGATTTCATTGTTTCTTACCACTGAGTGGTACTCCATTGTGTAAATGGACCATATTTTCTTTATCCATTCTTCAGTTGAGGGGTATGTAGGTTGCTTCTAGGTTCTAGCTATTATGAATAATGTTGCTATGGACATTGCCCTTGTGGTGTGAATGTGCCTCCTTTGAGTATATGCCAAAAAGTGGTATTACTGGGTCTTGAGGTAGATTGATTCCCAATTTTCTGAGAAACTGCCATGTTGATTTCAGTGGGTTTATCTTTAGCCTTTGCCTTCTGCCTGCATCAGTGCCAGTACTTTTCCTAATGCTCTCCCAATCTTTGTTCCCTATTAGGATTCAATGTGTTTAGCCTGCTGGGCATTTGGGGCACCCCTAAGGATTAATGTACCCTTGCCATTCCTCCCTCCAAAATCAAACCCACATCCAAATGCATTTTTAAAATGTTTAAGAAAATTTTATGATGTTAGAGCTGTGATAATTTTTTTCTATAAGTTGCCTTAAATAGTCTTCAGCTTAAATAGATCCTCTACAATTGTTCTTCTTGTTTCTTCTTCCTTAAAAATTATCCTAGCCCCCTTTATCCAGACTTACACACACAGGCCCAGAAGTCTGACTAGCAGGGATCCTTGCTCCATCACACCACTCTGCAAACAGGAGGCGTTCTCATGAAGCCTTGGTTCTCATGAAGCCTGGCAGTGGCAGGGGTGTTCTCTAGCTCTACTATGATCAATACAAGCTTCCACTCCCAGGCACTACAGTGTAAAATTGACTAGCTTATTTATTTCTACTTACTTGTTTATCATTGGTGGCACAGGGCTGGGGTTAGAGAACATCTGTCTTCGCTGGCTGGTTCAAGGTGCCTGCATGGGTCCTTATCTGTATTCAGGCAGTGAGAGGAAAGACAAGACAATATTAACAAGTCTGTTAATATTCCTTCAAATGATGGGACTCAAAGTGGCACACAGCTTTTCTTCTCACTGGAAGACATCACTCATTTCTTCACTTGTCTTTGTAGAACCCAGGCACGAGGCCACCTCCCTGTACAGGAAACTAGAAGTTATTCTATCTGTGTTCAGTAGTGTGAGGCAGGGAAGACATACCTGTTGACAAACAAGCTGGCTCTGTGGCTTTGTACCTTTTCCCTCTCAAACAGCCAAGTGGCCCTCTACACAACACGGCACACAGCATCCAATGGCTGTTCTTATCACCTGCCAAAGGGTCTTCCCTCTGCACTAAAACCTGATGGTGGCACAGGGATACAACTGCCCTGGGAATTCACATTCACAAAGGGACAGCAGTCACTGCGAGTTCTAATGGCGGGGTCTCTTGGAGCCATAGCCAGACACCACTGGCTTCAACCCTGGCTCGCTTTTGTGAGGTGACCCTTGTCCTTTGCCATCTATGGTCTCTGTGGTGCCTCCTGGCTTGTTTCTGCATCATCCTGGATCAGATGCCAGCTGGTGTGTCTCTTGAGGCTTTACCCCTTCCCAGACTGTTTCACATTGCCATGGGCATGAGAGGTTTTTTTTTTTTTTTTTTTTTTTTTTTTTAAATATAATTTAAATTTGGAACAAGCTTGTTTTACAGGTCAATCCCAGTGCCCGCCCCTCCCTTCCGCCCCCTCCCACCAACCCCCATCCTGTCCCTTTTCTGTTCCCCAGGGAGGATAATGCCCTCCACTGGGAGTCTTCAACATCTGTCATATCATTTGGAGCAGAGCCTAGGCCCTCCCCCATGTGTCTAGGCTGAGAGAGTATCCCTCCCATGTGGGATGGGCTCCCAAAGTCCATTTATACTAGGGATAAATACTGATCCACCACCCAGTCCTCCTAACTGACACCCACATTCAGGGGGTCTGGGTCGGTCCTATGCTGGTTTTCCAGCTATCAGATTGGAGTCCATGAGCTCTTCCTTGTTCAGGGCAGCAGTTTCTGTGGGTTTCTCTAGCCTGGTCTTGACCCCTTTGCTCATCACTCCTCCCTCTCTGCAACTGGATTCCAGGAGTTAGGCTCAGTGTCTAGCTGTGGGTGTCTGCTTCTGTTTCCATCAACTACTAGATGAAGGCTCTGGGATGGCATATAAGGTAGTCATCAATCTCATTATAGGGGAAGGGCATTTAAGGTAGCCTTTCCAGTATTGCTTAGATTGTTAGCTGGGGTCATCCTTGTAGATCTCTGGACTTTTCCATAGTGCCAGATTTCTCTTTAAACCTTTAATGGCTCCCTCTATTATGGCATCTCTTTTCTTGTTCTCTTCTTTTCTTTCCCTGACTCAGTCTTCCCGCTGAGAGTTCAGGAACC